CTCGACTGGGGATAAACCACGCTCTCACAAGATATTCCCTCGTACAATAGCAGTTCAACATAACGTAAAATAAAGTACGTAAAATAGCAGTTCAATGCTGCTGTGTTTTGTATGAGTGTATAGAACCGGAGAAACTTTTTACTGGATACGAGACATTTTATCTTAGTCCTCAGGGGTGACAACACATCTGCATTTTAATTCTTAGTCGAGGATGGATGTAGATGTCTATAGGCCACAGCATCCACTTACCAGCAGGTGAACTGTGTGCTCGTTTGACACCATTATTATTTTATAAAAAAAGAAACTTATTATAGACAGGAAAACCAGATCTGGAAGAAAACTCATATTTCAAGACTATCAACAACTCTGTAGATATAGATGTAGTAAACCTTCACATCATATTTTTATGTTCACGTGTTGTATACCACTACACTTTATAGAATACAATAGTTAATACTAGATATACTTCATGTGTTCCTCTTGTACGTAAATATTTCTAAGATAATGATTTCTTATATTTACGCGGACACTAACATTTAAATAATTCTAGTTTTTATATCGTGTATATTAACTTATATTCTCGACGTTTCGATCACTTTACAGCACCCATGGTTACGGGAGGGACTGAGGTGTTCGACTTCTCAATGTCATGGTTAACCACGGCTAACTCTAGATTAAAATCATTAATTTTTGTTCCAATCTACACAGTATGTACTTATAGTATCTTGAAGTCTTGCAATTGTATGCTTGGGTTGGGATTTAATTATATTAATTATGGAATCTTTTATAGAAATTAGAATTTTTTTTATTTTAATGGCCTAGTGAATCATCCTTGGAAGGAATTGGTGTTCTTTGGCGAGGATGTGTGGTCTATCACATCTGATGCAGTGACGGGATTGATCTAGTACGTGTTCACAGACTGCAGACAGGAGCGTCGATTCTACACATCAGCTATGTGTTCTTTAATGCGGGTTTTTATTGATCGTTTCCTTTTGTCCTATGTAAGAGACCACAAGCTTGTACACTCCTGCATCTTGCAGACGGACATTATATTTGACTGATGGTAAAAAATAACTTATCTTCTTCGGTGGCTTGAAGTATGTTTAAATGGAAGCACGCTTTAACGCACGCGGCGGGGTGTTTACTGTCACAGATCCCTCATGTTCTCTGAAACAAAGATTTACCCACGGTAGCTATCTGTGAAGGATGGTGGTGAGAATCGCCGTTTACATATCTATCTATATGAATCTTTTTTCTATACACAGTGTGACTCAAGGTGTTATCAGGTTCCGAATTACTAACACATGTAGAAAAGCTTAATAATTGTTTTCCTCTAACTCCATTGTGAAATGAACTTTAGAATTTATGGAGTTAAAATGGCCTAAAAATGCAGTTACTTTATCTAAAGGTAGAATTGTGAAAGTGTCGTCTACGTACTACTTGCAGAACCTTATAATTACGAGAGAGATACAACAAGATTTGGAAGGATGCAGCTAGTAGTGTGTAAAAATAACCGTGTGGTGGTGTAAAATAATCTAATCATCATCATCATCATTACAGTCCTTCACAAGTCCACTGCTAAACATAGGCCTCCCCCGAAGTAATGCCACAAAGCACGGTCCTGAGCCACCTGCATCCATCGACTTCCTGCATATCTTACCAGGTCGTCACTCCATCGTGTCATCATAGGGGATCGCCCTACACTAAAATCTATTACTCCGTTTTATTTCGTAGGTGTAATAAGAGGCGACTATAGGAAATTCCACAAAGATCTTATGGCTTCCGATAGATAACGTCGTATCCATCTCGATTACCCAAATCAGACGCAGGATATTTCTTTGTAGTTTTGTATGTATATATTTATTGAGATATATATCTATAAATGTGTGTATTTATTTATATGTGGAATATGGGTGCAAAGCCTGAAGGGGATGATGGCCTAAAACCCATAAGAACGTATTAAACTAAACTTTTCTTAGACGAAGGCTGCCCCTTTTTTAATTGAATTTCTAAGATTATTAACAATAAAACCCATTATTTCAATTAGTTACTAATGGTGCTCAGTTGTGTTGTGTTATTGTAAAAATTTTTACTTATTTTTTATTTATGTAATGTGTGATTACTCAAACAACATAATTTCCAAACATCTTTATCATCAGACAAACCATTTCCAAAACATGCTTAGTTATTGCCGTTTCTTTTGATGTATTATTTACGCAGATGTCTCATCAACTCGTGGAATTAGGGTGTACAAAGCAAATTGCGGACGAATATTTTTATTTCAGACGGACCAAAATATTGCACCAGTTTTGCTAATGTACTATTATTTGCATTAGAACTGATTAATGTTTCGAATTACGGAGCACGTGCATGGATTAACTTTTAGCAAAAGCCGCCGCACGACCAAAAAAACTTGACCTATTTTGAACATATCCTCTCCAGTAGCACTTTTATTCAATAGAACAATCAGCTTAGTAAATCACTTAAAGTCGTTATTTATTCACAATAATTAGGATCAGTACTCAAGGAGTAGGGCGGGTTCGTCACATCTTCGTATATACTCGTAGTCAAGTAACGACTGCCCTTGTGACTAGACGATTTAATTGCGAATTCGTGTTGATTTCGGATGTTCTTTTTTATTGATTTGAGCCTAGCTCTAGCTGTGTGCCCCTTCACTGTTTGCCAACTATCTGTGTGATCAATCAACTATGGCTGTTTTTGCTAATGAATATTAAACGTGGTAATTTAAAATAAATTCTATGAAATATAGAATTATTTTAAGAAATTTAAAAAAAATTATAATTATTACACGTGGTAGAGCCATGCTGCAGTTATATTAGTAGTATAGTTGTAGCACTAATGGGTCGGCTCGACCGGGGAAGGACCACGCTCTCACAGAATACCAGCGTGAAATAGTAGCTTAATGCTGCTGTGTTTCGTATGATGAGCGTAGAGAACCGGAGACCCTTTTTACTGGAAACGAGGCATTCCATCTTAGTAATTACGGGTGACAACGCATCTGAATTCTGATTTGTAATCGAGGATAGATGTAGATGTCTATGGGCCGCAGCAACCACTTACCATCAAGTGGACTGTGTGCTCGTTTGTCACCCTATCCTATAAAAAAAAGAATAATATGCTGATATCGTCTTCATGTATGGTAGAGCTAACGGTATACTTAGCGTTATCCGAATTGAATTACCAAATGTCAGTGTTTTGCAGCACATTTTATATTATAGCAGCTTTTGATGTAGATCCTACTATGAGCGTCAGATCAGTAGCTCAAAACCTCAACGTGGATACTGTTTGACAATCGTAAGTGCTCAGCAAGTTGGTTGGATCCCGGTTCAACACCTGGACAATGTATTTAACAAAAACTGACCCCTAAAAAAGTGATGGTCACTTTATTGTGGTCTAGCGCTGGTGTGATTCATCACAGCCTGTTATCAAATAAGATGAGCATTACTATAGATGTGTAACGTCAAGAACCACATACAATGATAGAGAAGCTCGCACGTCTCCAACCACCTTTGGTCAATCGCTCGTCCCTGCTACTCATGCACGACAAAGTGCGACCTCGTACTGCAACGCAGACGGTTTCCCAGCTACAAGACTTGGGTAAGAAGCTCTCCGTAATCCGCCGTACTTACTAGACCTTGCGCCTACAGACTTCTACTTTTCCCAGAATTTAGATAACTTTTTGGCGGGAAAAAATTCAATACTCAAGAGGCAGTACAAAATGTCTTTGAAGAATTTGTAGCCTCCCGTTCAGCCGATTTTTCAAGAAGGGCATCAATAAAATGCCATTGCGTTGAAAAAGACACATCAATTGCATGAGTAATTTACTTTGATTAATCAAAACAAAAAAATATAGAAAAAATTTGTGTTAACGTATTTCATAAAAACGGTGATTTCATAGGTAAAGATATAATATTTTAACGTGCATAAAATAATTATCTAATGAACATGTTCATTCGTGAGTATGAATATAACTATGTTGCAAATTAATAGTTTTGTGGTTTAATGAATTTTAACTAAAAAAAATCAGTTCATCATTATTAAAAAGAAATACAAAAATAAAAATAAATTTAATAAAAAAAATAGTAGAAAGAATTCATCAGAAAATCATCATTCAGAAAAATAGTAGAATGAGTGGTAGGTACAGAATGTCAAAAATTATCTCAGATTAAAAATTTACGTCTCCGAAAATATAATTGCGATATCCAATAGGGCGGCCAATGTAAATAGCCCCGGGCGGCTTTGAACCTAAATACGAGGAAGATAATTTGTTAGGAAAATGTAAGGGTTAATATATCTTTCTGTAATATTATTTAGAATATATATTAATTGGATTTGAAATATATAAATCAAACTACTTTCAAAAAATTAAAAAGCAAGCCACTGATGAATTGTTTGTGTATTTATACATATAATACTTTAGAAACTGAAAATTTTTTATTTAAAATGCATCTTCTCAATTACTCGTATATGACATTGTTTAACAAAAATCTTCACCTTAGTCCCAACTAGCGACATCTGGTGAACTAATGACATAAACTAGTAGTCAGGTACACAGAGTACTTTTTGTATACCTGAAAAATATTTAATTAAAATAAAGCTAGGGTTTTGACAAAAACAAGTAATAGAGAGATTATATTTCAATGAATTTCAACAAAAATTCAATTGTAGGTGTAAGATATGGTAGATAAATTTATATTTCTTATGCAACGTCAGTAACTTGTTTACGTGACTCAATAAGTGATCCAATTTTGGCACGAAGCAGCATTAATGATGTTCCTAATTAAAGCCCAAGCGAGTATTTATATCACATATAAGTCCGGTATAAAATTGTTCAGCTCGAACTAATAGACTTGTCATTTAGCGTCGCAAACATTGTGTCGTTAGAATATTTAATAGTAAAGTAACATATGTTTAAACGTTCCTTACTGGTTACATTCTAATCGTATTAAATTTAATTGGATTTTTTTGAATAAGCTATAATGTTTATTTTCACATCTAGCACTAAAATAATAAAGGTAATATTATATTATTTTTCGTGGCAAGCAAACGTTGTGGGAATTAAGTGCAAAATGGTAATTTTTTATATTCATTTCAGTTGCTGGCTCTTTTATTATTTCAACTAAATCTAGTAAAACTCCATTTAGCTCAAAATGGAAACATTAATATTGGTAAGTGTTTTACATGCACTTATTTCATCATCATCATCGTTACAGCACTTCACAAGTCCACTGCTTATCTTTACTAAGCCACTCACAAAGAATACCGCCAAACACGGTGAGCTAGCCAAAGATATTTAAATCCTTGGAGCTAACTGCATCCATCTAATTCTTGCATGTCTTACCAGGCTCCATCTAGTGTATTTATTTATATTAAACATTTATTTCATTACATTCATTTCATTCTTTCTTGTTTTTTTTTTCCTCTTTAAAAACATTTGGATATCACTACGTTACTTTCTGCTTTATGGGCATTTTACATTTGTACATATTTTCAGTACCCGCAAATAATTGTTATCATCAAATCATTTGCTTAAATAATTTGATGCTAACAGGTATTTTGAAATAAAATGGGTTTCAATATTTTCGGTGTAAAAAGGTATCTTAAGATATAAATCATCATCAGCCTCTTCCATTATAGGGATACCGTGTATTGCCAGTGTAAGGATATCCACTACCTCATATCGTCCCGTGGGTGTCGTAAGAGGCGACAGAGGGAAACTGAATAAGGTGGTTGACAGCAGCTGATAATAACTTTGAATAATAAAAACGCGGTTGCCTCGGTTGCCAACCTACCTTCCTCCCTATGGTGAAATCTGTGTGCCTCCTATGTTCAGCACTGGACTTTTATCAGCTGTCGTAGAATTGTAGGGATGGATACGATTTATTTTGATCGTCTGGTTTGACAGACGGATTAACGATCGCAGTACTTGGTATTTTGTACAATTTACTCTGCTGCTGTCACCAGTCTGAGTGTTGCATGAATGTTGTGATGGTTATGCCGTCCTCCTTATGGCATATCCCGTAGTCGCCTCTTATGACACCACAGAATGAGGCACTCGATTTTATGAAGCTGTGGCAGCTATACACGAAAAGGTATAACTAGCAAAAATAATTGTATTGCTGCAAAAATATCATTAAGAGGGTGGCAAGGAACTCTCCTATAATTATTTGTGTTTACTGTTAAACTATTAAATTTATAATGCTCTCTTTAAAAATACAAATGCAACGAATCACCGAATTCTACTAAATACTCTGTCAAAGTAGCGCAATTAATTAACATCGTTTTGGTTACAGATGAACAATTCTTTCGCTTTGACTACACATTTTACCCTGAGCTAGATGGATGGCTGAAACTACACCGCATACCTGCTACCTGGCACGACGCTCGACTTAGATGCTATCTTGAAGGTAACATTATAAATTTTATGTGGTAATTTACCAAGCAGTAATTCTGAACTGATCATGTAGCCTATTGTTCCAATTTCTAGGATTCTTCGCAAAGGGTTGGTTGTCAAAATGTGTGCAAAAATATCCAAAAAATACAACAGCTTCAACTGCATCATTATTATCATTCAGTCCATTACAATTTCACTGCTTAAAGTCTAGGTAACTCGTTGGTAACTTCAACGATAACAGCGCTGACTGCATCTTTGGTTTAGTCTGTCGTGGTAAACTCGATTACAGATCATTAGGTCTCGGGTTCAAATCCCGGTTCGAGCTAAAATCACTTATTAGGTTTTACTGGCAAGAAATTATCAGTATCAGCCCGGAGTCGGGCATTTAGCGGTGTTTTACTACCGTACATATAAACCGTAGGTCCTGCGCCTAATCTCTCCCTGGTCGTGGTGGATTTCCATCCCACTGGAATATGAGGGTGAAGGAATATAGTGCACCAGTGCTTGCTATATATTCGCGCACTATTATCCTGTTTTGCGTTTTCCATGAACATTATAAATTAAAAGAATGGTCGATAGTAGAAATCCAAAAAATAAGTTTGATATGTGCTTTCAGATGTTAAGGATGTGTGTGTGAGCGTTATACTTGTGAACAGGCACTGCTTGTGAGAACTGAATTGCTTGAACTTACAATATATTAATTAGCTTTCATTTTGTAAAATTTTCTTTGTTGTGTATTTTAATTGCAAACCGGTTTGCTTATTATCATTTAATTTTAAAAATTACTAAAAAAGGGATGAGTATTTTTTACTGGCTGAATTTTTACGTCGTTTCTTCTACGAGCAGAGGAAACTCATTTTGAAAAGGTAGTGGATAAAAAAACACGTAAAATTTAATTTTTTAACACCAAAAACTAAAAATATTTCATTTAATTTTATTTAGAGGAATATATAAAAGTAAATGCATGGCCTCTTATATGATAAAATAATGTCCAATGTAAACACTAGTCAATAGCGGAACATCTGATCTAACCAAACCTCGCTACTGAGATTTTCTATTAATTCTTAACATCAGTATTACTGAATCAAAATTTTAATTGACAATTTTATTCGAAAAAAAAATTAATTCCTCAAACAAAGCCAAATTGTTACTGAACCCTTCAAACCCCTTAAAATTTTAAAATTCCCAAGCGATCGCATACGTCAGCCAAACCCGCGCTACCGCACCCACCCACAGCACTATAAACCTTAAAGACTTATATTTAGAGACTACTTTCCTATGAAGAAGTTTGGCATTATAGAATATATACGAATGTAAAAAAAATTACCACGATCCACGATGATCTATAGGGAATTTTTCAACTGCACCTCATATAGTCCGATTTGTTGAAACATATAATGAATCATTATCTAGCCCGTATTTAGCAATCTTACGCATTTACACATCCCTTCAGTAGGTAATTTTACTAAGTTTAACCCAAGATGCAAGTCGAAGAGCTGACACATCATACTTACATATTTCACTTCTCGTTCCGAGTGTTCAAAATTATTGTTTTACCTATAAGTGACCTATTTGTCAAACTGCAACATACATGAACATTTAGATTTTAAGTGTTTGTAACTTTTTTCGTAATACCAGGCCTCTATCACCTGCAACGCGTGAAATAATTATATAAAATCGCGACACGCCCGGGCGAAATAACGCAGTCAGGGCTAGCGCGTTGGAGGTAATTGAATGTTAGAGTTTTTAACGCTATTTACGTAAATAGTTTTATGTAAATACTTGTTGAAATAGTTTTTGTTTAGTGTTTAGTATATTTAATTGTAGATAAAAATAGTTGTAAAAGTTTTAATGTACTATTTTAAAAATTATATAATATTATGTATATTACCTATTTGATAAATTATAATAGCAAAACGTCGTTCCTACTATAACTGTTGCTTAGATGAGTGCTAAATGAAATGACCAACAAAAGGTTTCATATCATTCTTTAAGTTACCGAAGAATTTTAGAAGGAAGTTATGAAAGGTGAATTTATTAAATTTTTTTGTTAGATAGGTACTCACAGCAAAAAAGAATTAAGTAATAATTTGGTCTACAGAAGAAATACCTAAGTACTTCATTACAAAAGTTTGTTAAAATTTACTTCACTATCCAAGTATTTACTTACATACCTATACTTGTCTTTTGTAATTAAAATATTTTGAGTTATAATAACACAAAATACTGAAATTAAAACTTTGTATACTAACAAGATTTTTAACTAAATAGAATAGATCACATTTCTGTTAGAAATCGTATTTCAGGTTTATTTGTTGTTTACACTATCTACCTATTTCTCCCAAGCGTTACGATTCCCGACGAATGACCTTGCAATTTGCATGCGTTAGACATCGCAGAACTCACATATGGGCGAAAGTATGGTTAGTCAATCATAGTCAGAATATTAGTTAGTACTTCACCTAAGTAACATAATTAACATTTCGCAATGTATTTTTTTACTTTCTATTGACATCCCTTAATAACCACGGAAAGTCCGCCGTGAAAAAAAAGATGCAAAGTAATATGGACACTAGCGCGCAGCCATAAAGTTTTATTTAGCTTGCGTGTGCGATTTATCTGTTTAATAATAATTATGTAGGCTATTAAACGTCGGTAAGCAGTCGACATCAAAGGAGTGCAACTTCTGTACGTAGTACTATTATTTATTCTGTGATAATACTTTATTGTGTACCTAGTTTAGTCACTGAATTAAGATGTGTGATTGGAAAAAACAATTTTTTTCTATCTAATTAATTTTGGTACATTAGACTGCTAAATGTAATATTTTTTTATAGAATAAGAGTACCAAACGAGCACACGCGTACCTGATGATAAGAAGATGCTTAGCCCATAGATATCTTCATCTAGCATCGATTAAGAATCAAAATGTAAATGCGTTGTCACCACAAAAGGCTAAGAGGATATGCCTCCATTACCAATAAAAAGGGTTTCCGATTCGCTACACTCATCATAAGAATTACAGGAACATTATTTTACTCTTGGATTAAAATTTTTATATATTATATATTTTTAATATTGGATTAAAATCAATTAGATTTTGATACATGGTTGCTTTATATATACGCATGTTTTGGGTTACTCATATATATCATATTTAGTAATATTTTACTTCTGTCTTTTTTCTTTGACCACAAGAAATATGCAAAGAAGTTTTCTCGTATTCAGTATAGTCACAAAATATTACGCAAATTCATTTTTTGTTGTTTGGGTTGATCTATAGGAGTCTATCACATTCAATTTAATCTAGTTTGAATTACCTATAGATCGAGGAGGAAATATATAACACATAAATCCACAGGAGGATCTAAGAGGAACAAAATCATGATTGTGGATCCAAATGGATACAGCAGTCAGATCTATTATTGTAGAAACTTTAATTTTTTATATGTCAGTGCTTAGCCTAAAAATTGCAGAGTTAAACATATTATTTAATTTTTTTATCAGGAGCAGCGTTAGCTTCACCTTTAAATACAAAACTTTTAACTGCTATGAAAAATTTTTCCATTGAAGTCTTAACCGGTGTACATTCAACAATATCTAAAGGAGATTACTTCTCAGTTGAAGGTGAGTCAAGTCACAATAAGTTTTCGGTTTGATGAACATAAATAGGATTTTTATGTTTACTCACGCTAGGTCCTTATTTTGACGTTACTTTTCTCTAATTTTAAATCCTTCCATATATTTATAAAATTCTGAGGTTCACGTATCATATAATATTCCATATTTTTAATAAAAATATATTCGCAATCGGAAGTTAAGACATTTATCTGGAATTTTTTTACTTAGATGATAATACAACTTTCATTTTAGGAGTACCGCTGGCTAGAATGCCAATAAAATGGGCACCAGGGGAACCAGACAATTGCGAAAACAGCGAGGAATGCCTGCTCCTTCAATCTCATGGAACAGTGGCTGACGTTAAATGTTCGGAGGTTTTCCCCTTCATATGCTATAAAAAAAGAACAAAACCGGCAATTATTACCGACTGTGGCACTACTGATATTGGTAAGTAAAACAATGTGTTATTTAAATTCTCATGTCAGCCTGAAAAACAAAATAAAATGTAACCTAACGACGTAAAAGATGTAGAAATATTCTTAAATAACATAAGATCAAACAAATTCATTTACTCACAGAATCATCTGTATCCTATTTTTTTTTTAATTGCAATTTGTCAACACAGCTTATCAAGAGCAACTGCTGAACATTGGACTTCCCCATAATTTGCTTCATAAGGGAGATATTTGCCATAGTTGCTACTCTTGGCTGGCGTGTTGGCAAACGCACTGTTTTTATTATTTTAAATTGATTACCATCTCCTGTTTCGTTTCCCAATGTGATCTCTTACAATCCTCATGTTATGGTGTGGGTTAGCTTCTGCTATTGCATGGATGGGCTGGCTTGAAGCGCTGGATGTATTCTGTGAGATCATACTCCCACCCACCAGCGTGAAGTAGAAGCTTTGAGACAGGTGTCCACTCCCACTGATAATTCGTGCCTTTCCTATCCAGGGTACCAAAAATTCTAATTTGTACCCCGAGTAGGAAAGGTATGAATTATTAGCTGGAGAGGACAACTATGTCAAACTTATAACACTTCTTTGTACCCCTGGCTGGAGTAGGATCGGCGGAGTAGGACGGAATACGATCTTTTTTTGCATCTTACCCATGGGAGGAGGCTTGCTTCTCGCTGGATTTGCTTCTAGCTGGATGATCCCAGCACTGTTGCTGATTCTGTAGTTGATGTGGCGCTTTAGGGAATGCCACTATTTATTTCATCATCTGTTATACATATCGGAAGCCTATCTCAGCCTTGGTTTGATCGCTCCTGTAACTGTAAAACGTAGTAAGCAAGAGCATTTTATGGTCTGTACTGACGCTTTGGCGGCCTGGGAAAAGAAGTATAACTCTTCCCTCTAGTCCCTGAAAAGAGTTCTTGCTAAAGCAATGTATGAGCAGGTTGGCAGAAATACATGCGGCGAGATTTAGGCAAATTTTATATACCTAGCTTGTATAAAATAATTATCGAGGGGAACTCATTCTGAAAAGTTTACCAGAGAGAGACAACTGTCGAAGTTGAAGACCGACTGTGGCAGCTTTAATTTCGGGACACCTGACATTTTGAGTGAGATTGGGTGGTTGTACGGAAGTCTGTACACATCATAGTTGGAGCCACACGCAAGTGTAGATAACTATTCAAAAGCTAGTCTCAGCCGACACTATTTTGATGATATCCCGGACATCAATGTAGGCGAAATTATAGTGGCTCTCCAGCACCTCTAAAATTGCAAGGCTTCTAACGACAATGGAATTCCAGCGGAACATTTTGTTTAGTTATTGGACTTGTGATGATCGAGCCTATGATGCTCGCGTATTGTGATACTTACAGCGATCGCTTACCCTAAGCACTATTCAGGTTTTTAATAAGAGCTATTCAATACCTGCATTTCCATCATTTATCTACATGTAAATAGTACATTAACCTTAAAATAGTCTGCATTTCCATCCTATTAAAATGTGGATTTCTTTAAGGCAAGAGTGAACTGGCTTAGTTAAGGGGATATAGTAAGTCAGCTCAAATTCTAATTACGCCCTCACTTCCCCGCGCGTCGTATGCTATGTACCGACATGTTTGTAATCACTAATACTGTAAGTAGATAGGTCGTTAGATACTTATTTCATTAGGTTTATCATATTTATGCATGTTTCTTAACGGCAACCCAGTCACTTCTTATTTTTATTACGGTTGTTTCCCATTTTAATTTTACGTCGTCCTGTTGCGTAATGTGTATTCTGATCGTAAGCGACACAACTTCCCCCTTCAAAGGCCGAAGCGAAACTGACCGGGCGGCAGGAATCAAGCTTCACTTCAAGACGGCGATGGTTTAGGTAATTTATTTTTACAGTGAAAATAATGGTATTTTAAAAAAAGTTAATAACATGAGCACTGCTTTATAGTTAGTTCAGTTAGTATGCAAAGTTTCATGATCTTATTTAAAGTATTTTATGAATAACAGCGGTTTATTGTTCAGTTTGAGGTAACTTTCGATTTTTTTCTATCGAGAAAATTTTACGGAATCGTGTTTTCGTCTAACATTAATCCTTAACTCTAATCCTCAACTTTACCATATATTTATTTCAAAATTAATGCTGCAATATTTTTGGCATAACGGAGGATCTTGCTAAGCCTTTTTTGGTTATATTTCCCCTTATGCTAAGTCAGCGCTTGATCATCTTCAGCTGCATTACCACTTATGATCAATTTTGATCAAGAACTGACTTATAGTATTGAAAGATTGACTTACCAGTTATAAAAATGAAATTATTTAATAATAATAATAATAATAAATCATTTATTCATCAAGTAACACAGACTCATATGGGTATAATTATATCACCAGTCACATTACAAAAATTACATTACATTAGGTTCATTAAATTAAATTGAAATCAAAATAAAAATTAAAATATTAAAATAATCAAATTAAAATCTCAATCAATATATCATAAATCAATGTAAAAGTAATTAAAAACAATAAACACTCACAATAAATACCTAATCTTCCCTTCACATGTCATATTAATTCCTACTGTGCACAATGTGTAGGCCACAACAATGTTTGATGTAGGGGCAATCTAGTCTACTTGCTATCGCGGTCAGCATGCTGTTGTGGCTCCCCCCGCACTCGCCGTACCAGTGACGCTGCTCGCTTGCGCATTGTAGTGTGAAAACAGTCCACACGTGCACACGCGAACATCGTCGATGCACTACAGTACCGGGGGAGCCCCACCAACATCCTGAACGCGTTATTAAACTGGACGCGTAGGGCACCGTACGATATTTGCGCATAGTCAGTCCACAGGCTGCAGCTGTAAAAGGAAGTGCAATAAGCTTTGAAAAGAGTTACTTTCACTCCCTCCGAACACCGTGCAAACCTCCGGACCACCATGTTCGCTCTGACCGACAGCGCCCTCCGCTCCCGCTCAATGTCAGCATCGTCTCTCAGTGTGGGGGTGACAATATGGCCTAAGTATTTAAACTCATATACTCTCTTTAACGGTATTCCATTAAGTAGAATAGAAAGCATCTCCGTCACCTTATTAGAACCACTCTGAAAGACCATACACTGGCTCTTTTTACAATTATAGATCAGCCCCTGACCAGCTGCATAATCCTCACACGTTCTCAGAAGCTTTCTGAGTCCACAGACCGAGGCGCTCAGCAGAACCATGTCGTCCGCGTAGCTAATGTTATTGAAACAAACGCCATCTATATGACAACCGACATGTTGCTTGCTGAGCGCCTCAATCAGTTCATTAACGTACAGGTTGAATAAAGAAGGAGAGCTCAACCCACCCTGCCTCACACCACACTCCAGCCTGTATTGGTCTGACATAGTGCCCGCCCACTTCACGCTGTTACTTTGGTTCCCGTACCAAAACTTGAAAATGTGTACTAGTTCATCCGGTATATGGGCTTCCTTCATCTTCCTCCATAGTATGTCATAAGACACAAGGTCGAATGCCTTCGAAAGGTCAAGGAAACAAGCGTAAACAGGTGTTTTTCTTGTAGTGTAGTATTTGACAGCACTCTTCAAACACAATATAGCAGATTCAGTGGACAGCCCCGAACGAAACCCAAACTGACTGTCCTTTAACTGTATGTGTTGATTTAAATGTGTATTGAGAATGCTGTCAAACACTTTTGCTATTATAGTTGCCAGGGATATAGGTCTATAATTAGATATGTCTGACAAATCTCCCGCCCTATTTTTCACCACTGGTACCACAACAGTTTTCATCATATCCGCGGGCGGGTAAGAGTGAGATATGCAAAGATTGTACAACATGGACAACACCCTAGATATATGAGGCCCAGCGTGTTGTACATGTTCCACACTCAACCCATCATGCCCGGGAGATTTACCCTTTGAGATAGATTGTATTGCTTTCAACACATCTTTAGTTTTTATTCGGGTATTTAGATACTCCCCGCTCACCCCTCCTGTAGCCTGTGATATTGACGGTCCCAGAGGTGATTTGACAATAAAATTGTTTTTAAATTTGTCAGCTATACCCTTGAGGTCATTTGTTCCATCCACAGTCACAGGAAAACCAGGCCGACTCCTCAGATGGTTAGTATTTTTCCAGAAACCTGTGAAGTCCTTTTTGCAATGTTTGGAGGCAAGTATGTCCATTTTTATCTGGTCTTGGTGGTTTTGACACCACCTAAGACGTGATTTAAATTTTTTCTTACATTCATACATCTTTTTGTATACATCTCCTTTGGTAGGACGCCCACACAGCAACCACTCCTGAAGACTCGCCCTGGCCCTCCCGTAACTGTCACTGACATGTTTATTCCAGCCAGCAATATATTTAGCGCGGCAATCCAGCTTACTCTGCTTCCGCTCGCCCCCCCCGGCCCTCCGCGGCGGCTTGTGATAAGGCGAGCACGATGTCAGAGTACAATTTATCGACGATAACTAGGTGTTTTGGGTCATTACAATATTTATCCGCACATTTTACAAATTCAGACGGAAAATCTATCAACCTAAGACGTTTATGACATTCAGTTCTATAAAAAAGAAATTTGGTCTGATGTTCTTTCCCCCCAAACCAATTTATTAACAGTATTAATAGGAGTAATTTTAATAGGAGTCAGGCATCCCAAATTACATTCACAAATAACAGGAAAATGATCCGACCATAGTATGTCATACTTGACATACACACTGCCCACAGAGGACTCCGCTGATTGCGACAACACACAATGATCCAACCAACGCTTTGACCCACTAGCTGGATCTATGTAGGTAAAAGTATCAGAAGTCAATCCCAACATTTTTATATCTACAGGTACCCATACAAACTCATTACATATACTTTTTAGTTCCTTAAAAAATAATTCATTCGGATGAGCGTTAAAATCCCCTAACACGTAAATAGGTTCGTTACTATATTCATTACTGATAGCACTTACAGTTCCCAAGCAGTCCGTGAATATAGGCAGGTTGACTAATTTATTGACCGGCATGTACACAGACACCACAATAAACGGACTCACTGTCGTGACGACACGTATAGCACTCACTCTCGGATTATCGCAACTTATTACCGTAACACTAGGAAACACAGTGGTATTCCACAGCAGCGCTGTCCCTCCGTACGGTCTTCCGCGTAATAACCCTGCTGCCGTATCCACAGCCGACGTCCCGGTGCTGCTGAATCTGCTATCTATGCTACTTAAAAATGCCAGTTCATCTGGCAGCAGCCACGTCTCCTGCAGCGCTATCACCACGCACTCATCACATAATTGACAGACATCGCTGACCGCCCTCTTGACGTTTTTACAATTATAAGTAGCAAACTTGTAGGTCGTACTATCCATTCCTAGAGGTCAAAGGGCCGCCTGCTGACTTCACTGTGTCAGCTCGTCTATTTTTAAAATGCACAAATCGCCTAAATATTATCCCCTCCGGCCATATTTTCTCATCTAAAAATATAGAAACTTTCGACTCCGGCACCAGGAATTTATAGGCTTTATGATTTATTGCTTTCTTCATATTTATTTTCTCCAATGTCACTCTTACTTGTGTTTTCGCCCTTATGTAATCAACAATGTCAGACTCCACGGTATCAAGGTGTACATTGGTTATGAAAATAGGCATGTTCTTATCAGCGGCTTTAAACGATGAAACAGACGCTTCTGCTTTTCCTTTTTCGCCCAAATACCTATATCTCGGCTTAGTCTTACGCTTATTTACCATTTGCCAGTCATTAATCACTTTGTTTTCATGACAGGATTGAATATTCGACGTCTCTTGACCTTTCTGCCTTAGGTTAGATACGGGCGCAGATAATATTTGTGTAGACGTACTTGGGCCAGCACTTGGAGGTAACGGTGAAACTCGAACCTCCTCTCTGCACTCACAGCTGCTCGCCACCGCCACTCGCTCCACCTTGCCTGGTGCAGGCACCACCACCGTACTCGATGCATGCTTATTGCCCATCTCAGGAGATAATGTCGTGCATACTATGACGTCATCATTACAATTTATTACATCGTTTTCACAGTTGCTTTGCACACTATTACGAAACTGTTGTAAGTCGTCTCCGTCCGATGTGTTATTATGGCTCAAAGTTAACCCAATAGGGCCGCTATCGACATTCCAAGCACCACCGCTTCTCATGTTTACATACTTGGCAGGAGTTAATGGCGGTGGTAGCGATTCGTACTTTAAGTTATGTACGTAAGATCGCAAATCTTCAATTTGTTTTACAGTAGCGTAGGTGTTTTTAACCTCTTCGATCTCCGCATTAAGTCGTGTCAAATCTTTCAATAGTTTCGTGCAATCGAGATGGTCAAATAAAATAGGGGGTAATTTCTCGAGTTCCCTAGCCACAAAAATTGGAATTTTTTCTGGATCTACACTTTTAAGCACGCAAATGATGTCATCCAAGTCTCTTTCTTCTTTTCCTTTCCTTTTTCTTGTAATTTTACGCTGATCCGTGGGTAGCGATTCAAATAATAACGTTTTCGATTTGCTTATTTCACTGCTAGTAAACGCGCTAACACATATTCGTTTCAATGATTCCTCGTCAATAACAGATAATTTATTATGAACATAAGCTAGTAGTTCATCGATCACAATATTACAGGCGACACATTTTATAGTATTCGCCATTGTGCAACGACGCACAGAGCGCGGTAACAACTCAAACACAGCCGACCTTTACCGCGGCGTGCGGGTGACGATTTAAGACACAAGCATTTTCTTTAAGATTTATTAAGATTTTTATTCAAGACTTTAATGAAACTTTAACTGTTTACTGTTTTTTTTTATAGAAGAGGGGGCAAGCGAGCATGCGGCTCACCTGATGTTAAGTGACTACCGCCGCCCATGATCAACTGCAACACCAGGGGAATTGCAGGTGCGTTGGCGGCCCTTTAGAAAGGAGTAAGCTCTTTTCTTGAAGGTTTTATTGTAGTTATGTTATTTACGTAATTGAAGAAATATATATACATATATTATATATATTATATAATATAATTGATTCTTATATATATATATATATATATATATATATATATATATATATATATATATATATATATATATATATATATATATATATATATATATATATATACATATATTATATAATTGATTCTTATCTAGTTCAAACCGTAAACAACAATTTTTAAATACATCAAATTATTCTATACATTATAATTTCCACAGAGTACACTCATGATTCTAGAACCGGTAGCTGTTATAAATTCCACTACGTTGGCCGATCTTGGCCTCGTGCTTTCATGGCCTGTGCGTCAGAGGGTGGCCATTTGGCCATCATAAACAGTGATGTCGAAGCTCAAATTCTAAAGGAGTTGTTTGCAAAGTATCCCGAACATAAAATAAGTGCTGTAAAAAAAAACCTTGCTCATGTTGGATTCTATGACTGGGGTGAACGTGGGGTGTGGAGTACAATTCATGGTAAGAATTTAATATTCCATGAATATTTTCAGATTTCTTATTTAAATTTTAACAAAGTAAACTCAATTCTGGCACATCAACAAACACAAAAGTAGTGGATTTATTAATTTAATTTTTCATCAAATACTGAATATTTGTTGAAATTCCTTTTTATTATCATTATCAGAAAAAACTATTGATAAGAAGGTTCTCTTTTTAAAGAATAAGGGTGAAAAACGAGCACACAGTCTAACGAATTATAAGTGGATGCTGTGGCTCACAGACAACTACATTCGCCTCGATTACCAAACCAAATCTTTTTGATACGGCTATTATCAAACTAAAGCCTCAGAGTATAGGTAAATCGGTGCTACCCACCCAGATGGACTCCTAGGCATAAAAGGAGTCCTACCAGTAGTAATTTTATATTTTACTTTGCTACGCTTTTATACTCAATTTGTACTTTATGTATAGGAATAGGTTCAGTTCACATCGAGACGCGATGATGCGCGGGAATTTTTAGAATTATCTCAATTAAATGTGTGCCTATATCTTTGTGTTTGTATTTTGTTAACATTAAATGAAACTAATTTTTACGAATTTTATCATGTTCAGTTAAACCCGACGTTTCAGATACCGCACCCATAGTTACGGGAAGGGGGGTGGATTGATGTGTTTGACGTACCAATGTTGTAGTGTAGTTGTACCGATTTATGCAGAATGAGCTTAAAGTATCTTAAAGTCTTGCATGGTATGCTTGGGTTTGGCTTTAATTATTAGTTATAAAATCTCAAACAGATAGTATTAGATATCCATTTCTTCTATTAAAATTAGGATGTTTTTAATTTCAATAGTCTCGCAAATTATCTTAGGTAGAAGTCGTTGTTTTTGGCGAGCATTTTGTGGTCTATGTGGTCTATGACTTGTTCATAGACTGCTGACTTCTCAGAACTTGGGTGGTTCACGAGAGCTATATGTTATTTTACGCGGGCTCTTATAGATATATTTTTGTTTTATGTTCTAGAGACCACATTCACAATTAATCTTGTACACTCCTGCATCTTGTAGAGGGATATTGCACTTGACGGTTGGTAAAATTTAACTAATCTTCTCCGGCGGCTCGTAGTAGGTTTTAGCTCGCTTTAAGATTTTAAATATCGGTTGGTATGGGTCTTTTTCGTATACACCGTGTGACCAATAGTGTTTGATTTCGGATGACTAAAACATCAAAATCTAAAGAATTATTTGTTTCTAGCTTCATTGTGAATTATATTTTAAAGTTTACGGAGATGATGTGGTCTAAATATGCAGTTACTTTGACAGATAATAAAATTTTGGAAGTTGGTCGTCTACGGACCGCTTGTATAATCGACCGCTTGTAGAGCAGTAAGAAGGGATTTCTCTTAAAATTTATGGATTTCTCATACTATTATTGTAGATAGAATTCACGCAAGTAAAAAGTTGTTACAAACGGTTCATTCATTTCATTTTTGATGCAGCAAAAACGGTTTGCCTAAAATTCATAAATAATACCATAGACAATTTATCCAGAGAGTTAAAAACAGTTTTAATTTAACGACATTCGATTGTTGACATTAATAATGTTTTTATTATTAACGATCAAATCAAATGACAAACATCATTATCAACGTAGAAATTGAACGCAACCGTTGACTACAGACCTCAGAGTAATGCATACGTATGTATATAATTACTCTAAGCTACAGACGCCAAAAAATAACAACGCACGGACTATAATCTGCCAAAATATACACTGGACGAACTGACAAAAAAAGTATTATTGAAAAGCATGAAATTTATACTTACGTTTTGTAGAATCCCGTACGAAATAATTATCTGTAGCGTTGAGGATTTTCCGTTTAAGAATAAAAAATCAATAGGGAGAATTTAGAAGCCATTTGTCAAGACATTTTGTCCTTATAATTTTGAAGTTCAGCGCCGAAACTAAATCTCCCCAAAGACGAGTTTAAAGCGTTGTACAACTATAAGTATGAATAGATAGATAAAGGAAATGTTACAATAATAATTGAAGAGTCAGAGTATATACAAGTAAGAATAGATAGATAAAGGAAATGTTACAATAATAATTGAAGAGTCAGAGTATAATTTCATAATACAACAACATTTATCAGACGGAAGTACATATACAAAAAGGTCAAAACAGAACCTACAACTACTACGCTTAAAACAACCAGTGATTTAATGAAGAAATACTCGGGAAAATTAAATCTCGACGTGAATTCGTTATTACCATCATATATAAAGTTAAATTCAAACCCAAGCATACCACTGCAAGACTTCAAGATACTGTAAGCTCATTCTGTGTAGATCGGACCGAAAAATAATACTCAAAAACTGAAGGTAGCCGGGTTAACTATGACATCAGGACGTCAAACACTTTAGTCGCCCTTGTGACCATGGATGCTGTAAAGCACCTGAAACGTCGGGAATTAAAAAGTCATATTATCATCATCATCATCATCATTACAGCCCTTCACAAGTCCACTGCTGAACATAGGCCTCCCCCAAGTAATGCCACAAAGCACGGTCCTGAGCCACCTGCATCCATCGACTTCCTGCATGTCTTACCAGGTCGTCACTCCATCTAGTGGGGGGTCGCCCTACACTACGCCTACCGGTACGAGGCTGCCACTCGAGAACCTTTCTTCCCCATCGGTTATCGGTTCTTCGAGCTATATGGCCGGCCCATTGCCACTTCAGCTTACTAATCCGTTGGGCTATGTCGGTCACTCTGGTTTTACTGCGGATATCCTCATTTCTGAGTCTATCACGCAGAGAAACTCCAAGCATAGCCCTCTCCATAGCTCGCTGAGCGACCTTAAGCGTCCTCATACGGCCAGCAGTGAAGGACCACGTCTCAGATCCGTAAGTCATCACTGGCAACACGCACTGGTTGTACAATCTAGTTTTTAGAGATTGAGGTATACCTGACGAAAAGATATGTCGTAATTTCCCGAACGCTGCCCAGCCGAGTTGAATCCGTCGATTGACCTCTCGGTCGAAGTTGGACTTACCTAGTCGGACTATTTGTCCCAGGTAAACGTATTCGTCAACAACTTCGAGCATAGTGCTCCCAACAACTACCGGCATAGGTGTGACATGGACATTAAACATGATCTTTGTTTTGTCCATGTTCATCTTAAGACCTATCCGTTGGGAGGCACTATTGAGGTCATTGAGCATAATGCTTAAGTCCTCCAGCGATTCTGCCATAATGACTATATCGTCGGCAAATCGAAGGTGAGTGATGTACTCGCCATTGATGTTAATACCGTATCCTTTCCAGTCCAGTAGCTTCTAAAAGTCATATTAAACTCGATAAAATTCGTAAGAATTAGTTACATTTAGATGGGTTTTAAACGAACACATTCCATCTGATCGTAAGTGAATGCTGTCACCCATAGACGTATACATGAATCCTTGATTAAAAAATATAATATGCGGATTCCTTGTCATTCCTGAAGACTAAGATAGAATACCTTTTCCAAAAAAAATAGTCCAAGTCGAATTCAGGAATCAATTCTCTGCCTATAAAGGTCACGAGCTAAACAAAATACTTCTACATGGATTGCCTCATAGGCGGCATTTTGCATTAGTTGCCACGCTTAGCAGTTGGGTTGGCAACGGTTGTTATCAGGAAGATGCTGCTGCCCATCCCAAGTTCCAGTTTCCCTCTGTCACTTCTTATGACTCCACGGGACGGTAAAGGATAGTGGATATTTTTACAACCTCACAAATTATTTTGTTTGATGTTAATCAAATATAATGATTGTTTATTTTTTATTTTCTATTCTTCTATGCTTACGTTAAATTCTATTTACTCGTTAGGTTGGCTAGTAGATAATTTTTAAAGATTAATGCCTTTTGTCCACCCTTTCTACTCTTTTGTATCAGGTAATAAAAATTAAAAATTTAAGACTTTCAGAATTCTTCTTCAGCTAATTCTGTTTTTTATTATGAAATTTTAGGTCAAAGTCTCAGAGAAGCGGGATATGAATCGTGGGGTAAATGGCAGCCAGATAATGCAACTGCAGAATATTGCGGGTCTATGTTCAAGGATTCGTTATTGAATGATATTTGGTGCCATTGCATTGCACCGTTCATCTGTGAGAAGAAACCAGAGAATCTTTTACCCTACGATTCCGATAATTAATTCTTAGTGGATTTTAATTGTAAAACAATAATAGACAATAGTATGGAAACGAAATGAATGTTTAAAATTATTTTAGCTCTTAGTAATGCTATACAACATGTAACAAAAACCCTGTGGTTCCCGTTAAGTTCGTTATCAGAATCCGAATTCAAACATATAGAAATAACTTTTTTTAGAAAACTCGACCGTATTTTTTGTATTTAATTTGCATAAATTTAAATTTGCAAATTGTATGTGGTTTAATACTCTGCATTGTCCGGGGAGTAAAAGGATTGTCCAAAACCTCGCTTTGCCGATGCGCGTGTCAGTTGGAGATAATAAAACAACATAAAATTTGCGAATATTTTTTAATTAAATAATTTTAAAAAAAAAATAATTTTCGAGTTTTCTGAAAAAAAAATTCTATACATTAGAATACTGATTCTGATAACGCACTTAACGGGAACCACAGGGTTTTTATTACATGTTGTATAATATTGTAAAACTTCCATAATTGGTGGTATAACCATATTTGTACGTGGTAGAGCTACGCTGTAGCTATATTAGTTGTAGCAGGAATCGACCTAGTTTGGACCACGCTCTCAAAGAATACCTGCGTAAAATAGCAGTATAAGACTGCTGTATTTCGTATGGTGAGTGTAGAGAACCGGAGACCCTTTTTACTATTAGTATTTTGTTACAGAAAAATTGTAAAAAAGGGTTATAGCGAGAGACAGAGAGAGAAAGAAAGAAAGAAAGAAAGAGATAGAGAGGGAGTGGTCCACGACAATAGTTGAATGGCGGATTCGAACCCATGACCTTTAAGTTCTTATATACGTATCTTATATACGTAGGTGTCTATGGGCACAGAATAAATAATACCTATGGGTAACACCATTCATTTACCATTATCTGGACTGCGTGCTCGCAAATGTGTGAACAATTATGCACGAATGTTTCGTCGAATATTTCATCAAGTGGCAAAGAACATACAAGGATGTTATATTTTTTATATTTATATGCAGTTGAAAACATAAATAATACATATGTACATACTGAGAGTTAAAAGTGAAATACGTCTTGCTTCCTTAACATACAAACCTTAAATTATAATTTTTAAGAATTACAGTCAAATCCCGACCACTGGACGACTACTACTACAATATATTTATCTAAAACAGTGATTTTGTGCTATTTTGCTTTCTAATCATTAAATAAAATAAAACATGGATAGTGGTGTTATGCAGCACTGAATTCGCATCTACCTTACCGAACACTAAAAAGTGTAACATTATAATTACAATAATCAGATAAAATTTATTCATAGGATATAATACAACATGAATAATTTTATAAACAGAAGAGGTGACAAACAAGCATACGGCTTACTTGATGGTGAGTAACTACCGCCCATGAACAACTGCAACGCCTTTCAGAAAGGAGTAAGCTCTTTTCTTGAAGGTCCCAAAGTCGAATCGGTGCGGAATAATCTCCGGTGGTAAACGATTCCACAATTGTACGAGGAAGAAAACTCCTGGTAAAACGCACAGTAGTGGACCGTAAAGTATCTAGATTGTGTGGACGGTATCGTGAGTTTTGTCGCGATGTGCGTTCGTGAAATTTGGGGACAGGAATCTATCCGAATGAATCCTCAGAACACTCCCCGTGGTAGATGCGATAGAAAATGCAAAGAGATGGAACATCCCTTCGCAGCGCCAGTGAGTCGAAGCGATCAGAAAGAACTTGGTCTTCTATGATTCGAGTCGCCTGTGCTGGATGTGGTCAAGTACAAGGAACTGAAATTACACGTGTAAGAATAAATTAGTTCAGTTGTTTCACTTCCATATTCAGTGAGGTTATTGTTTATTCGAATGATAAATTTTATCTGACGATTGAAAAATTTACCCTATATAAATTAAAATACTAACATAGTATTTTAATTTAACACATGTGTGGAATAACCGTAATATTTAGTTTAAAAATAAATACATTTTGTTTATTTTTAAAACCAACGTGGTTCGCGGGTTTTACCTGTCTCGTTAGTATAGTGGTCATTAGCGTAGCTACGGATCATATCCTCAACGGTTCGAATCCAAATCGGGAAAAATCTGTTGCTGTACTTATGATCTGTACATATTATCTCTAATACAGTCCCGACTTTTCCCCTCTACTCTTATATCATTATACTTTTTATTATTCATATATCTAATTTCATTGCCACATGTATTACATGGTTTACTTCCTTTCGCATAATAATATGTCCATACCACGCTAGCTTCCCACTCCACCTCTACTGGGGATTTGAAACTGCCTCTCATATTTACTATATATATTTATTACTGTATATATATATATATATATATATATATATATATATATATATATATATATATATATGTGTGTGTGTGTGTGTGTGTTTATATTGTACTCTTTTTTTAAATGTCCCAGCTTTTCTTTACATAAGGAATAATATAAATATTTATATTATTCCTTATCCTTATCCAATAATTTTCTTATAATAAAACTTTTTCAACTAAGGAATATGTACGCTTTTGAACTGAACTGACACTGCTCAAATTTTATGAACGTTTTATTTACGAGTGGTTTCATTATCATAATAATGTAAGAACTATACGAGTTTTTTTATAGACCACATACACAGACATAACCAACAAATGTTAAAAAATATTTAGCTAAGATCCGCGGAATAAAATAAAATGATGTGTTAAGACACACCTGGTTTGAATATCACCTTCACCAATGCCAATACCACTACGCTGGAAAAGACACACCACCGTCAGTAATACGACACGTGTCTCGTCCTCTCTCAAGCATCTTTAAGCCTGCTGCTCAATATAAATACAGCCTCGCGGTCTTTTTTCATAGAATGACTGTGACAAACGAGCACATAGTCCAACTGATGGTAAGTGAATGCTGTGGCCCGTAGACATCTACATTTATACTCAATTAAGCATCAAAATGCACGATAGTTTTGTACTCGTAGGGAAATAAATTAAAATAAAATATTAAACCACCTTTGCTCAACCAAAAAATGCAATACTAATGGGAGATAGATGTCGTTTTGACGTTATTTATGAACTGTCATGAGGTTATTGATTCATTTATTGTTGGCTATTTGAATTTCTGAAATCCCTACCCTTTACCCTTATCACTTAACCAAAAACATATCGCCAAAGAAATCCACAAGAAACACAATAAACACATTGACAAGTTCATAACTACAGGACCAAGCCCAGAATTAATATTAATATCACGCTACCTACATTATTTTATAACTCAAGTCACCTGTCAGAAATGACATTTTACTACTATAAGAGCTAAGACTATAAGAGCGCCATAATGTGAAACCATCAAAAACTTGGGATCACATTTTTATTTTTAGCAAGTTATTAAGTATGATTTATTCTCTTATTTTATTTTTAATTAAATGCATGAAGTTTTCGCTTTTTTACGGTATAGTGTATATGTGTTTGGCTTGAAGTAGACTGTCTCCTTTGATATTTCAAAATCAGTGTTCCATTACAATCTGCAATCGTTCGCTAACTTTTGTAATTGACGCAAGTGCTTTGATACTCAGGGAGTAGAACAATTAAATTTCTACTTTGAAACCTTATAGCCATATAGCTTGAAGAACCCACAGCCGATATTTTTACACCGCCACTACACGGTATTTTTTGTGTTTAATTTTTTATGTTTAAATTGATTTAACAACGTTTATTAATTTCAGTTATTATGTAATATTGTAGTAATTTTCCTTTAAAATTTTCAATAATGTCTTATAAAATTAAAGTAACAACGCAGACACGTTCGCTCAACTGGGAGTTTCATGCACAAATGAGATTGTCGCGACGGTGGCGCTTGCGGAGATGCAAGTAAACCTAATTTGCTGTTCCCCGTCCAATAATTATAGGAAATTGACGGGAACTCAACGTCAGTCGCCTTCCTAGTTTGTGAGAACAAATTTCATTAACGCTATAATTTTCCTTCTAGGCCAAGTTCAGATAATATAAAGTCAAATTCACTCTATAATTATGAAGGGGAAATAAGTTTCATTTACTATTTCTTTATTTTTATTGGTACTGCGATCTGTTGCACCCCTCACCTACCTAGTATATAATATTGTAAACCGTCCTAAAAACATTGCTTAGTAGTAAATACAACTTGAATGGTCTAGAACTTAAAATGCTGACACATTTTTCTCGTCATTATTTGTATACATAATAGAGGTTACCATCATTGGGACCACAGTCAGTCTAGACCTAACATCCGTCGCGTTTCCTTCCCTCGTTTTTTCTAAATTTCATTTTAATTTATAGCCTAATAAATGGGGTTTTATTCCTCAAGTTTTTTTTAAATAAGTATTTTTAAAACCCCGCCCTAACAACAGATCGCCAATACGCCAAGCGTAATGATTTAGGCACATCAGGCTGCCTGCAGCGGGAAAGATCCACGTCCACCCGTGAACTTTTATAGGCCGATGAAGAAGTAGAAGACTTAATTTATTTATTTCAATAAATAAAATATATTGACTGCCTTGTTGATCTATTGTTTTTAAACGCGATTGCTGATGTTGAGGCCCGGACTCGAATTCCGGATCGGGCCAAAATCATTTACGAGGGCGGCACTGAAAATTTCGGGAATCAAGGAAGTGACACAACATTACTATTTAAAAATGTATTTATTGCTTTTCGAAGTATTTTCCGCGAAATTTGACACACAAGTTCCATCGTATAAATGCTTTTTCCATACGATGGAACCAATCATTGAAGCAACCATTCCATTCGGAAGTTGGGATCACCAAAATGGCCGTTTTGTAGGCGTCCACAGTTTCTTCAGGTGATGAAAATCTCTGTCTACGCAATTTATTCTTTATTTTAGGGAAAGTATAGAAATCATTAGGGCTTTGGTCGGGGCTGTACGGCGGATTGTCTAATAATTCTATGTTTTCTTGCTCTAAAAACTCTTTTGTTCTGTGTGCGGTGTGAGAACTCGCATTGTCG